AAGTACCTTTTTTTTTATAGGATAAGGGTGACAAACGAGCACACAGTCCACCTGATGATAAGTGGTTGCTGTGGCCCATAGACATCTACATCTATCCTCTATTACAAATCAAAATGTAGATGCGTTGTCACCCGTGAGGACTAAGATGGAATGCCTCATTTGCAGTAAAAAGGGCCTCCGGCCACCTGCACTCACCAAGCGAAACGCAGAGGTAAACCTCTACTTCACGCTGGTTTTCTGTGAGGTCGTGGTACCACCCCGGTTCGAGCCGGCCCATCCGTACGACAGCAAAAGCTGCCGCGTGGCTCTACCACTGTTTAAAACTTTTATTTCGGTAATAACAAAATACTTACTACTAGGTAATTTTTTTTTTGTTTCATGCATTAAAATAGGTTCCACATATAATAATTTCCACAGAATAGCTTCTGAAGTAGACATAGTGTGTAGAATCATCATCATCATCACTACAGCCTTTCACTACAAAGCACGGTCCTGAGCTACTTGCATCCATCGACTGCCTGCGTGTCTTACCAGGTCGTCACTCTATCTAGTGGTGAGTCGCCATTTAAAATCGACTATTACTTTTTATTAATTTTGACCTTTTTAAGTAAACTAAGAAATATACCAAGCCCCTTTTAAAATACACGCTGCTTCAGTGCAATTTAGCAGAATTTACATATGTTTTTATTTTCCCGATCGTTTTCCTCATAATGTTTTCACCGCCGAACAACTTATTATTCCTACGAGAGTTGAACTCATTGACTTATACGATATTCCTATTTGGTCACGTGAATTCCTTATGTTAACATAATAAATATTATTTAATAGCAATGAGTACATATATTAATAATTACTTACATAATATTATATCTAAAAGTTTTAAGTTCCACCGAACTTTAGCACAGATTACTAAATAGTTTAGGAAAACTTGAAGTAGTATTCACTAAATATTTTAAGCTTTACTAGGGAAGTGGTGACACCTAGTGATAGAAAAATAATAAATTACATTTTTAACACGCGTGAAAATAAATACGTTTATGTTAACTGAAGTAAGATGGCGCACTTAGAAACAAATATTTTATATGATAACCGCCATCTATAGGTTGAAATGAGGAGATCCAAAGTACCAATATACATAAATAACATTCTATTTACGCGAACACTACACATTGAATAAAACTATGTTTACGGATTTTATCGCGTTTAATTTACTTATTTTAATTCCCGACGATTTGGGTGCTTTACAGCATCCCATGGTCACGGGGGACTGAGATCTTTGACGTCTCGATGTCATAGTTAGCCCGGCTACCTTCAGTTTTTGAATATTTATTTTTGGTTCGATCTACGCTGTATCTAGGGTTTATTGTTTGCACACAATCAGTTCTGCAGCATATGCTGTAAGAAAGATTAGAAGTCTCACCAATGTTGAAACAGCTAGATTAGTTTATTTTAATTACTTTCATAGCGTGATGTCTTATCGGATTTTGTTATGGGGTAAATCGCACATCGCGACAAAACTCGCGATACCACCCATACCACCTGGATGATTGGCGGTCCACCACTGTGCGTTATAGAAGATGTTTCTTCCTCGCATAAATTCGTTGTGGAATTGATTACCACCAGCGATTTTTACGGACCTATACGACTTAGGGACCTAAAGAAAAGAACCTACTTCTTTTTAAAAGGCCGGCAACGCATCTGCAATTCCCCTGGTGTTGCAGTTGTTTATGGGCGGCGGTAGTCACTTACCATCGGGTGAGTCACATGCTATTAATATTAAATATAGCTGCAGCATGGTAGAGCCATGAGCCAGAAGTTCAGATGAATAGAAGAAAATAATTTTTATACAAAACGGATTATTACATAATAGGATATTATAATTAAAAGTAATTTTTTAATTTACAACTGGTTCGGAAAATGTCACTGTGAAGAACCAGCAAGAAACCCAGTGATATTATATCTTTTTACACATATACATGTAACTTTACAATAATTTTGTACAATTTTTAATATGATTTGTCTTGAATAGTAACAGCATGGTAGCATGATCACCTCATTCAGAGTCCCGGGGGTTATTTTCATTCAGGTATTCCTTGATATTCTAATAACCCTTTTTGCACATTTTTTCTTTTAATAAAACTTACAAAACTTCTTTATTGACAAACTTTGAACTTTTTCTTGGATTTTGTTGTAAAAATCCCAGAAGTGTATACATTTCCCCATAAATGAGTTACCTATTTATTCTGTGGAGTCTAGTAACTAGCATTACAAGCTTATATGTTTATTCCTAGTGTTTAAAGTATCATTTTTATTCTAATTAAAGCTATTCATGTTTGCATGAAGATCATTGCGCGTTACCAAATTAGGAATGATCGTGTATCTGTTTCACGTGATAGAGCCACGTTGCAGCTTATTATGGATAGAAAAAAAGAAGATATTTATTTGATGCTACAAAATGGTGATCTTTGGTAGCTCAAGGGCTTAGCGCGCGTAAATTTCACAGTAGGTACACGATCAAAGAAGATTCGAGAATCGACATGATAGTGCTGATTTACCACGTACTGGCGCTGAGGGAAAACATCGTGAGAAAACCTGCATGTCAGAGAAATTAAAAAATATATATATTTGGAAGATATGTGTTATCCGCCAACTCTCATTGGAGCGCGGCGGACATGTCCTTGTCCTAATATCTTCCTAGAAAGTAGGCCTGTGTCCTAGACCATAGACATAGATAGTAGGGTTACCAGACGAAAAATTAAAAATTCCTGACAAATAAACTGATTTCCATAGAAAAGTCCTGACATTTTGTTGCAAATGTAATTAACAAGCATGAAATATTTTTATTTATTGGTTTTGTGCACTCTTGTGAACAACCCACGTCGCAGATTACACCTTTCCTTATTTTATTAAAATTGAAATAACCTGACATTTCCAAAATCCGACCGCAATCCTGACAAGAGTGATATGGTATCCCTACCTGTGCCTAACTATGGGACATTATATATAGGCTGTAACTTTTGTACTTTACAAAATGGTAAGCAATTTTTTTTTATTTGTATTACTAAACATAATTATTGCAGCAATATATAGGTAGGCAAATAGGTGTCCGACGTAACATTAGTGGGATAACCACTAGCAGCTAGTAGAAGTAATGACAGCAGTGGGATATTCTAATAAAATACTGAAACTACAAGTGGTTTTATACGTGGTAGAGCCATGCTGCAGCTATATTATTAGTATAGTTGTACCACGAATGGGATGGCTCGACCGGGGTAAGACCACGCTCTCACAGAATACTAACGTAAAATAGCAGCTTAGCACTGCTGTGTTTCGTATGGTGAGTGTAGAGAAATGAAGACCCTTTTTGCTGGAAAAGAGGCATTCCATCTTAGTCCTCACGGGTGGCAGCGCATCTGCATTTTGATTCGCAAACGAGGATAGATGTAGATGTCTATGGACTACAGCAACCACTTACCATCAGGTGGAATGTGTGCTCGTTTGTCACCCTATCCTATAAAAAAAAGTGGTAAAATAAAAAACTTATACAACCGACTTCAATATAAATATAATTTATTGTTGATTTTTTTTAAACTGCTCGACCGGTTTCGATAAAATTTAAATGGGACCACGTGGGAAGTATATTCTTCGAAACAAAAATAATTTTTCAAATCGGCTCAAGCATCTTTGAGTAATCGGTGAACATACATTAAAAAAAGATTCCGACGAATTGTAAGCCTTCTTCTTTTAGAAGTCGGTTGAAAATGGAGAATATTAGACACATATACTATAAGCAAAACAAAAAAATTACACATATTTAAAAAAAAAGTATTTTATTATAATGAAGTACCTACATAGAAGTCTAGTTTATTCATTAGATTAATTGTCTGTACTTCTTCTTCTTGATAACTGGCTTTACGGCTCTGGGATCTAGTCCTTCTGAGCTTGAGTTACAATATTATATTATAATAATTATTCTTCATAGTATACTGTTTCACAATATGTTGATGCGTCACATTGTGCAGCCCGTGGGAGATTTTGACGGTAACTTGAGCCAGCAGACAGCTGACGGTTGGCGATGGTATCTCAAGGCGCCTAAGCAGACAGGCACCTTATTTTGAGAATCACATCACTATCAGAGCACTTGTTTCACAGTTTCCAATAATAGTTCACATGCGCAGATATTTAATACACAAAAACGCACCACTTTTACATATCAAACTCCACTTCAAACCATTATTTAAACAATAAAACAGGAGCAGCAAACCGCCGCCGGTCAAGCTCCCGCCAAAACTCCAATTGTCTGTACGATAGCTGTTGTACAACGATGACACGAAAGAATGTTAACTTAGGACGGACCGCGCTCGCACAGAATACCAGCGTGTTTCGTTTAGTGACTGACGAGAACCTTAGACAATTTCTTTTGGACAAATTTTTACTGGTAAGTAACACGGTATTCCGCGGCGTTTTGATACTAAATCTAAGATAGATGTGGGTGTACATAATACACAGCATCCACTTACCGTAAGATGTGCTCCTTAGTCATCATCGCTTCTATAAAAACAATGTTCTCGTATTGCAACTAAGCACTATCGCACTCGATGGTGAACTGCGCAATCGTGATAGATAGTCTGTGGTCTGTTGTCTGTATTTTGAGGTATTTTGTAATACGTAAATGGTCTATAGCTTGGACAAAGTACCTATCATACATTTATCCAAGGTCTGTAGTCTCAATATAAAGAATAGAGATGATGAGAATAAAGTAAAGTAGATATATAAATAATGAAAGTAAAGTATCTTTTGTAAAATACACCTTACTGATTATACTCTGTTTCATATTCTGTCATATTTGAAATTGTCACAATTTGCAAAATTTATACAAAGAGCACAAATCAAATCTAGGAGGGATGCATTAAAAGCGATGATCTTATCTATTTGCTACGTTTAATAATGAAAACAATTGATTAATATAACATTGTCAATGTAAATAACTTAAAATTTAAATGATAAACAGTGAACATGTGAAAGAAGAATGGATGCCTTGTCCGAAAATTGAAACAGACTGGCCCGGTTTAACATTCATTTACCCGTTGGATGAAATAATAATTGTGAAAAAAACTGATGTCTTACATCAAGTTATTGGCGGGAAAGGGTTTTGCTACACTATATTTAACAACCAACAACAAAAAGTGTTTATAGCTGTCCAAGAATCGCATAAGAAAAAATATAACCTCAAAATTTTTAATTATTACGGCAACGAAGTCATTCAAGTAAGAAAACCTTGCGGTCTGTGTTTGAACCGAGTTTTAATTTGGGCACCGCCCGGAAATTTTGTGGGATCCGTAGAGAAAATATTTACTTGTTGCCCTACAACGTATCTTGTGAAGAACAGCCAAGGTGACGTTGTATTAAAGATAAAAGCTTGCAAATGTTTCAAATTTGAATACGACATTTTAGCGAATGGCAAGAAAATCGGAAAAATGCGGAATGAACATCATAAAAGAAACGTGTTTAAGGAAAATGTCGCTGCATCATTTCCAGCAGAAATTGATATTGGTTACAAAGCAGTTTTGATCGGAGCTTGCTTTCTAATAAATTTTTTAAATTGATGCTCTTGCGTTCAAATAAAATTATTGAAGCTACAAAAATGTTTGTACAAAATAGATTTTTTTTCTTTTCATCTTCCTTTCATCAAGGAAATCGTATGATTCACGATAAAGGAAAGTAAACAAATGTGGCTTTTACAAATAATTTATATTGTAAGTCTTTGTTTATAAAGTAATCCGTAAATCAGTCATTTTTTATCCATGTCTCTCTGAGAGTAGGTAATTGAGTTCTATGATTCATGTCCACTTGACATAGTAGCACTCTTACCATTATTAAATAAGTTTAGTCAGTTTTTTATAATCGGGAATAGGACGCTTTATAAAAATTAATATGTAATAAAAAAGTTAAACAAAACATTTAAAAGAAAAAAATATCACTTTATTATCGTTTATTCAAAGGAGATGCGAGATGCGTTTTTAAAAATTAAAGTCAAATTTTTCGACGCGATTGATACAAGCCCTTTGAATTAGGAGAATATTATTATTTTCAATGATCGAGAGTATAGTGATTACGCATTATTACATTTCTAGATTAATAACTGAAGGTGTGCCATGGTAGCTCAGAAAATTAGTGCCTACATACTACGCAAGCAACCCAAGTTTGATCCCGCGGTACATTTCATTGCTATGCGGATGACAGCACTGGTGATGCTCTATACACCGGCCGTGCCAATATTTCTCGGGAAAACTTCGCCGAGTATTGGAACAAACTTGTCTGAAGTCGAGTCTTTGCTGAACAAAGTCTCGATTGGGGAGACTAAATCTAGTACAGTTTAATCCTCAAAAGACACAATTTTGTGTGTTTACCGCTAAAAAGAACCCCTTTGTCGTATTTCCTCAGTTTCAAGGTACTCCCGTTGTTGCCTCAGCCAGTATCGGAATCTACGGCGTCGATATATCGAGTGACGTGCAGTTTCGTGTTCACTTGGAAGAGAAGGCCAAATGGGCCTCTAAAAAGCTCTAAAGTGCTCAGCAGAGCGGGACAGTATTTCATGCCGTCACACCGCCTGTAACTTTACAATGCGCAGGTTTGGCCTCACGTGGAATACTATTCCCATCTCTGGGCTGGGGCTCTCCAGTGCCAGCTCCTTCCACTTGACTGCATCCAGCGCAGAGCGGCTCGAATCGTCGACGACTGAATCCTTTCCGATCGGCTCGATTCACTGACGCTGCGAAGTGATGTTGCATCTTTCATCCCTTTTCATTTTCTTTCGTATCTACCACGGGGAGTGCTCTGAAGAATTGTTCGGATTAATCCCAGCCGCCAAATTTCACGAACGCACATCGCGACTAAACTCCCGATACCATCCATACCATGTGGATGCTTGCTTTAAATAAGGCTTCTACTTTTTTTTATAGGATATGGTGACAAACAAGCACACAGTTCATCTGATGGTAAGTGGTTGCTGTGACCCATAGACATCTACATCTATCCTCAATAAAGAATCAAAATGCAGATGCGTTGTCACCCGTGAGGACTAAGATGGAATGCCTCTTTTCCAGTAAAAAGGGTCTCCGGTTCTCTACACTCACCATATGAAACAGAGCAGTGTTAAGCTGCTATTTTACGCTGGTATTCTGTGAGAGCGTGGTCATTCCCCGGTCGACCCGACCCATTCGTGCTACAACTATACCACCAATATAGCTGCAGCATGGCTCTACCACGCAGAATTTTTTATTGAAATTATCCCAAATTGAATGTGATTTATGGGCAACAACGTTTTTGCCTACCGATCGACCCTTACGATTTTTTCGTTACCACGCATTTTGAATTAAAAAGATAAAAAGGACAAAATATTTGAGATTTTTTTAAATTAATTTTTCTTCACCATTTGCTTTTATTACTTAATCTGAACCTCTTCTGCGAATTTTAGCATACGCTGTTACCGTTAGGCCACGTCAAGAGTACCCTAAACCGTAGAGCATGTATGAAGGGAATAATGAAAGTGGACGAAGCAAAACAAGTATGTAAGGATCGTAGCAAGTGGAAAGAACTGGTCTCTGCCTACCCCTACGGGAAAGAGGCGTGATTATATGTATGTATGTATGTATGTGTTACCGTTACCGTTACAGAAGTCTGAACACAGGCCTTCCGCATAGATTGCCTCATAGGGAGAATATTTGCCATAGTTCCCACGCTTGGCAAGCGGGTTGGCAACCGCAGTTTATTTTTTATTTTTACGACACCCACGGGATGACATGGGATAGTGGATATTCTAACACCGCCTCTACACGGCTTAGTAAGCTGTTAGTTAACTATTAATAATCATTGAAGAAGAACATAATATTGCGTTAAGCACTTGTAATAGATAGGCGCTATTTAAAAAAAAACGTACAACTTTAATCTTCTGCATCCTGCTACATCACATTTTTACGGTTAATATATGTAATTCACGGTTAATCATGTAGGTAATTCAGGAAATACATAAAAAAGTTTATATTGATATGTGTTATTCCGCCTATGACTAATAAAAATATCAGGAGCAATTATCTAAAGAAAGGGAAAACACAACTCGCCTTTTCTTATCGTCGTAGTCGGATAAAATAAAACAAGTGTTTATTCTTGGTTTACAAGTCATTGTTTTGGGTCTGGATTCATTGTGCAGTTTACGTACCTATGCAAATAATAATAATAAATTAATAATAATATGTAAGTTTGTCATTTTCATTTTCAATTATATATTTATACAGCCCAACCAGATGAGAAAACTATACAAATATCCCATATTTAATCCAACTGATAATCACTTGGCTTAGGCCCGTGTTATCAGCTCTGCCCGGCTTGCCGAGAATATAAAATCAATATAATAATAATAATAATAATAATTCTTTTATTTCAGACCTTGATCCATAATTTGTTAGTAATACATTATACACCTTAACTACTAATGTTAGTTTCTTAAATATGTAAAATTACTTTTTAATATACTGTTCCAGTGCATATGCCCGTCACATCGTTCGGCGAACATGTTCAGAATACTGTTGCGGCCGCCACGCATTCTAATCAACAGGAAGTACACTCGTTTACGCATTACTGCAAAGAAGTCATCTGTTGTTCCTTCTGCGAACATACCTGATGCGCTACAAAAGCGAGGCAACCCCAACAGGGCTCTGAAAATGTTATTATATAGAACACGAAGGTCACTGTAAGCGCGCTTTGTATATGTTGTCCATAAGCTGCACGCGTAAAAAGATTGGCAGTAGGTTTAAAAAGTGCAATCTTGACTTCGTTGCTACACCGTGCAAACCTACGAATCAACATATTTCCACGGACCGTCAGTGCCCTTCGCTCCCTCTCGATGTCCATATCATCTTTACAATTTTCAGTAATGTAGTGGCCTAAATATTTAAACTGTTTACTGTCTCTAGAGCAGTACCATTAAGCAAAATAGGAGGCACATACTTCGTACACTTATTTCCAGCGTTAAAAACCATAAACTGGCTTTTCTTAGCATTGTATACTAAACCATGTCTAACAGCATAATCCTCGCAAACACGTAACAATTTTCTAAGAGCACTGACAGACGGAGCAAGCAGCACCATATCATCTGCATAACTTAAATTGTTTGAGCATACTCCATCTACATAGCATCCGATATACATGCTGCTCAACTCACCAATTAAGTAATTAATGTACAGGCTGAACAGGTTTGGTGAACTTAAACTGTCTCACTCCATATTCTAGCCCGTACGGATGAGAACACTCGTCTGCCCACTTAACACTATTTATTTGATTGCTGTACCAATACTCAAACATCGCGATAAGTTCAACAGGCATCTCGATTTTCCTCAACTTACTCCACAATATTTCATAGGACACCATATCGACGGCTTTTGACAGGTCTAGAAAACAAGCATACACAGGTGTTTTTCTGTCCGTATAGTACTCGACGGTTCGCTTGAGGGCCAAAATGGCACTCTCTGTTGAAAGATCAGACCGGAAACCGAATTGGGCATCGTGTAGCTGCAAATGTTTTCTTAAATACCCATCAAATAGACCGTCCAGAACCTTTGCTAATATTGTAGCCAACGATATAGGTCTATAGTTGATTATGTCCGAGATGTCACCAGTTTTATTTTTGAGAATTGGAACAACAATAGTCCTCATTAAATTATTTGGCAGATATCTATGTCGTAGGCACAGTGAAAAGAACAAACCCAACACCCTAGGAAGATGGTCACCAGCATGATGTAAATGCTCAATACTGAGATCATCATACCCAGGAGACCACCCCCTTTTCATGTTCATAATCACGGCACCCACTTGTTTAGCTGTGAAGCGAACCGGGTTTGTGTCAGGAGACACCTCCGTATAGGTTTTACCATTTATAGATCCTAAAGGAAAGTCAACTTTAAAATATTGCCTAAAATTTTTAACAATCTCTTTTTTCTCACTAGTGTTATCAATGCTCACATGTGGATTTCAAAAAATTTTTGAAGTCCTTATTACAATGTTGAGAAACTATAATGTCCATTCTTATTTGCTCTTCCCGATTCTGGCACCATTTTAGCTTAGACTTAAAACAACGTCTGCTTTCACACATCTGATCATACACAATACCCTTTAGAGGTTTGCCACATTGTAACCAATTATAAAATTGTATTCTGAACTTCCTACGAGCATCGTGTACATATTTATTCCACCCGACTACAGTTTTCTTTTTTCTAGTAATGGCACTGCCTTCATATGTCATAATTGCGGCCTCGCATAAGGTGTTCACTATAGTCTTATACATGTTATCTTCCATACGTGGTAGAGCCATGCTGCAGCTATATTACTGGTATAGTTGTAGGCACGAGTCGGCTCGACCGGGGAAGGACCACGCTCTCATAGAATACAAATGTAAAATGGCAGCTTGACACTGCTGTGTTTCGTATGTTGAGTGTAGAGAACCGGAGACCCTTATTACTGGAAAAGAGGCATTCCATCTTAGTCCTCACGGGTCACCACGCATCTGCATTTTGATTCGTAATCGAGGATAGATACAGATGTCTATGGGCCA